CGAAGAAAGGTAAACGACATTGTGATGGCTTTCAAAATCCTTCAGCGGGAAAGTTGCGCTAGACGCCGACAGCTTCTTTACTAAGATCGCATCTAGAACTAGAGGAGAGTGCTTTTAAAATCAAGATTCCGGTGGTAAGAACCCAGGTTCGCAACAACTATTTTTCTATCAGGATTATATCCCTTCTTAATAAAATTATTCGTGAAGGCAACTTGCACTCCTCTCTGAACTCATTCAAGAATTTGGCCAAAAAATGCTTCTAGAGGATTCTTGCGCACTTCCAAATTTATTGCAGTCATCGCCATGATTTTAGTTGTTTTTCTCTTTTTGTTTGTCTCACAAGTGCCTCATCATGTTGTTCTTTTTTCCTACATTCCTTTTGTTGAAATTATTTCTCTTACGGCACTTACGCGAGTTCGTGCAAATGGTTGGCTAATTTTTTATGTATCGTCACATACGTGGGCTTGTTGTCTACGTCAATAAGTGAATGAGAACATACCGGGTGGCAAAAAAGTATAGGAAGCTGAACCCCTTATTTTACAGCTACACAGTTTTGTGACAAATCTTTGTTTGAGTCAATAAACTTCATCTCAAGCAACGAGTTTCATAAAGGGTGGTCACAGTTTCTGGCCTCACGAGGAATGGTCAATTGGTCTTTTGTAATGACATGTAGTCCGATGCACGCATCTTGCGACGCTGAGCTTCATTTCGCTTTGAAATGATTCTCTAAAAGAAGTTACGAGGGATTTTCTCACTGAACGTTCTCACTGTGGCGCCCTCTGCATCCCCTGGAGCCTTCCTTTATTCGCTGTGCACACTGCGAAAAGCTGTTTTGTTTTGATCACTTTGTGAGAACTATCACATGTGCTCGTAATTATTGAAATTTTGTATATTTATGAGTCTGCCTTTGTGTTTTGTTCTGTGTGTCAAAGTTCATCATAATAATAGAAAAACTTAAAAAAAGAAGCACGAGAACGAATGTCCAGAGTGTCTCCTTCATGTGTCAAGTGGACGCAAATCGAGAAAACAACCAAATACAGGATGGCCGAAAAGTATAGGACGCCATGTTTTTGTGTGTAAAAGCCAAGAAAGAGACTCGATCAGGAAACCGACTTCACACAAAGATAGAGTTAAGCTATTTGATCACTTGTGCAGAAGGTGCTTTGAATTTGACGACTCTGCTTTGAGAGAGGCCTTCTGACGTCCAACGACAAAATCAGCAGTGCGCCGCAGGTAGCCAACGGCGATGTCGTCCCACCTCTTCTGAAGCGCTAACTTCAGAGCACCCACCGAGCTGGAGAAGTCTTATGAGGTCTTGCTCTACAACATCCTCACATAGAGGAGTCCATCGGGTTAAGGGCCTGAGAGGAAGAAGGTCACAATTCCTTGCTCCAGTGGCCCGGGAAGTGAGCGAACATACCGTACCTCGCTCAAGTCTTTTGCAAGACCTTCGAGTTAATTTTAACATTTGTGGAAGATGAACTCCAATGGAGCTGCACTTTTGGATGTTACCCCGTCACAAACTACCACACCTTCGGGAGAAAGTCTGTTGTAAACTAGACGTTATCTCGGAGACTTGCTCTCACTTTTTGGCAACAACTGCCTCTGACTTTGGTGGTCGCAAAGAAGTTTAATTCGAAAATTTTCTCATTAACCCAATCCGTAAGAGAGATGCGATAGAAACCAGCAAAGGTAAAGGGTTGGTAACTTCTTCTAATAATGTTGCTTCCCAAGAATTTCTGGAGGAGTGAACGGATCGATCTCTGATATTAATAAAGCGAATGCGACTCACGTCTGGCTTCCCTCGTTGTGATCATTCTCTTCTAAGAGTTCCTCTGAGTGTGCACAGTTCTTGAACTTCCACTTTTCGCAATCCTTAGAGACGTGTGCTTGAACCACTGAGAGCACCGAACATGTTTCAAAGAGTTGAAGAGGGAATACCGAGTCGCTTTCCGAAGTTGCAATTTCAGAGACCGTCATTGGGCAGCCTCTTTGGTAATGGGTCGATGCAAAAAAATCTTCATGGCGAGAGTTCAGATGAACTTTGGACCAAACAACTTATGGTGCTTCTTACATAGTTTCAAAGCTTTCGAAAGATTTTCGAAACACTCTGAAAATACTCCACGGCTCAGTGCCAGCAAGCGGTCAAAGCGTAATAACTTTTCGGTCACCCTGTACACTTACCTAATAGAACACTGTGGCTCGTATGAAGCAACACGAAAAACTGGAATAGCTTTCTTTACCCAAGGACTTGATCATGTGGGCTCATCCCTATGAAGCAAGAGCGCTGTCCCTACACCCCAAGAACAAATGTGGTAGGGGCTCTCCGGCTCTTGTGCGAACCTTTCAAGGAAGGGTGTGCCAAGCTTTTTCAAAACGGTCTTTTGCATGATATAGGGGCACATGCGGGAACCACAGAACCATGGTTAATTTTTCCTGAACGGCCCTCTGAATACCAGAAAAGGGGGTCCCTAGTCTCCTCTTGGTGACAATTTTTGCATTTCGAGTTGACGTTTCAAAACTATTGCGGCAAAATGAAGTCAGCATGTAGCTATTGATCGTCATATTAAATAATTTTGGAACGTCAACTCGAAATGCAAAAATTTGTTACCACGAGGAATCGAACTAGGGACCTCCTTTTCTGGTATTCAGAGGGCCGTTCAGGAAAAATTGAACATGGTTCTGTGGTCCCCGCATCTGCCCCTATATCATGCAAAAGACCGTTTTCAAAAAGCTCGTCACGCCCTGAAAGACCTTCCTGGTTAGTCAGTCCCTTGGTGTGATAAGTCAAGCATCACATTTACATTCAAAATTTCTCACTCAAAT